GAGAGATGAAGTTCTGCAGAATAAGCCTGACCAAGGGAAAGTGATGAAGCTCGTAGCACAAGAGAGAGCATCATCAGCATTTGTTCGAAATGGAGCGTATACAACCTTCGCAGACTGGCGAAGCGAGGCCAGAATAGGGATCGGAGATGTCGTCGTTGCAATAGAGAAGAAACGCTCCCACATGTAGTAAACCACTGCATGATACACTCTCGAGCCATGCAAAAGCGACATAATGCCCTGGTGGATAGAGTACGAAAAGCCGCAGAAGGTCGACATTGGAAGATCATGTCGGCAAATGAACGAGTACCAGGAGCAGCAGACAATGGACGTCCAGACCTGGTGATTGAAAAGAACCGAGAAGTGATCCTGATCGACGTCACCTGCCCATTCGAGAATGGACAAGAGGCATTTAAAGAAGCAAGACTGAGGAAAGAAGAAAAGTATGCAGAACTGGCAGCAGAGATGAGAAGGCAATACCAGCAGGTGAAGGTGGCTGCATTCATAGTGGGACCCCTGGGAGCATACGACCCGGAGAACGAGAAGCTGATGAAGAGACTGGCATCAAAGGGATACCTGCGCCTCTTCAGGAAACTGTGTGTAAGTGATGCCATTCGCTGGTCGAGAATGATTTATATAGAATATACCTCAGGTGCTAGACAGTATGTAGGGTGAAATAAACCCAAAGTCAAGATAGAAGAAGAATAGGTTCTAGTTAGTGGAATAGGAACACTATGTATAAAATGTAATAGATAGTCAGCCAATTGTCACAAATTACTGGAATACCCAAACTATTGTAAATAAAAAACAATGTATCATTCTTTTAAATAAAATCTGTTCTTATCAGCTTAATATCTGATACGATCCCCATGTGGGATCTTCGATATTAAACTGATTTTTGGATCATGGCGAAGTGCTAGGGGCTTGCTCCACCTTTGCCGCGGATCGGCCCGGTATTGCAGTATCTCCGGGATCGGTCCACTCCCCATGGGGAGAAATTTAAGCAAATATATTACATTTTATTTAAAGATGGCCATGGGCATATAATGTCTTATAATCGCTGTATATATGTCACGGTCAGACACATGTGCAACTTCTTTCTGGGTTGCAAAAAAGCAGGATGTAATTGTCCGTTTATTCGGTCCTTGGTAGGTTACAATATGCGGAGTTACACATGCATGAGTATGATGTGACAAACATGGATAAGAGGTGTGTTAGGACCTGGCAAGGATAACGTTGGATATAACATTAGGATAAGTTCAGGCTCATTTCACAACATGAGTACAGTTAATATTTTGAAGTTCTCTATTGTGTCATGAGGACATAACACTCCTTTTTTCTGTCTCAATCAAAGTTTTTAATCTCAAAAAAATGTCTCGATATTATACTGAAAAAAATTTAGATTAACACGTTTTCCTAACAGACTATTAAAAACTTCTTTCAGTATTATGAGTTACTAGGCATCAATTGGAGAGTTTGAAAATCTTTTCATTCACACAAAATTGTCAAAATACAAATCCTGTAAAAGTAGCGTAGAAAAAAATTCTTCGCTGACGCTTAAGCATAAATCAAGTACTATTTATTAACAGAGACCTTGTTAAGCGGTGCAAATACGCCGCTGCACCTTACTTTATATTTCGTTTAGAGTCCCTTATGATATGTATAAGGGGGATAGCGCGAACGCAGTCCCCCGCTAACAAAAATTGCACACTCGGTGTAGGAGCGAGGAACTTCTTGATAAGTTCAAGGCAGCCATAGATCGTATTAGGACTAAGGGAGGGATCCCTATCATATGCGGTGTCCTGCCTAGAAGGAGAGTTGGCAGTGAACGGTTGTCAAGGGCAGTTGGTGTTAACGACCGTCTTGACAGATATTGCAAGTCAATATCAGTCCCATTCATTGACAACTGGGACAACTTCTATGGCAGAAGGGACCTTTATGCTAGGGATGGCGTGCACCTGTCTAGGGATGGAGTAGCAACCCTGGCTGGGGCTCTAGAGGGGGCAGTTCAAGAGATATCGAAGTCTTTAAACTGCTAAGAGAACATAGGAGCACGGGGGTGGAGGAGACTGCAGTGGGAGCGGGTAAACAAGGCGAAAGATTACAGGGAAATAGTGTTAGGAATGATGACAAAACTAAATTAGACAGGGAGTTTAAAACTAAACGCGGTAAGGGAAAGACTCAGAACACGACTAACTTAAATGTATACTACGCGAACAGTAGAAGTATGAGAAACAAAATGGATGATATTAAGGCCTTGGTATGTACAGAAGAAATCGATATAATTGCATTCACTGAAACATGGATCAACCTAGACACACGTGAATTACCAGTCGAATACCAAATTGCGGGTTACAAACTGTTCCATACCGATAGGCAGACCAGAAAAGGAGGCGGAGTAGCAATCTATGTTAGGGATAATCTGAAGTGTGAAATAAATAAGGAAATAAAAACTGAGAGGAATACAGAAACAATTTGGATAGAATTAAGCGACGGTCGGGAAAAATTAATCACAGGGGTAATATATAGACTTCAATCTTGATACGCCAATGAGCCGACTTTATCTGGGATGAATGGCGAGGGCTTCCATGAAGGGCAAGGGCTGGGTCAACAAAGTCTGTATAGTAGGCGACTTTAACCTTGCCAACATTGGACTGTCCTACGGGTAACTGTGAATCAGAGGATTTTCGAGACGATCCAGGACTGTTTCTAAGTCAATATATAACCGAAACCCACACGGGGGTAATAATATACTGATTTAGTTCTGACGAACAGAGAAAACCTCATTAGTACCGCAATGTCGAGGTAGGGAACGAACTTGCAAACAGCGATCACAAAGAAATTCGATTCCAGTTAGATTTTCAGGGCAGACGTAAGGAAAATTCCACTAAAGTACCAGATTTCAGAAGGGCAAACTTTGACAGTTTAAAGAGGCAGCTGAGAGAGGGGGTGTCACGCTTGGCCGTGAACCTGACAGATGACACCGACCTGATAACGAGATCTGAGATTGCCGAGTTCCACGATAATTTAAATAGTGAGTTACTTAATGCACAAAGGCAGAACATACCATACAAAAAACTCAGATCAGACAACAATGACCCTAAATGAATAAATAATTATTTAAAGAACATCATTGGCCAAAGGAAGGCTATAGGTAGAAGGATAAATCGTGGCGAAATTCACCTCCGGGACTATTATAGGGTATTGGCGAGTAGAGTTAAAACCGAGATAAGGAAAGCAAAGAGGAATAATGAGGTAAGGATAGCAAGGAGGCGAAGACAAACCCCAAAGGATTCTACCAAATGTATCAAATCTAAAAACACGAGAGAAAGATTGGACCAATACGATTCGCCAGCTCACTGGATAACGACGGAGAAATATAAATAATTTGAATAAACATTTTCAACAAGCTACCACCGAAAATCTAAACATGACACCGAGGCACCGACTCTATTCAGAGATAATAGTGAAGAAACAAATTAAGGAGATAGTAGTGACTAGTAAATTACGTTAGTAAGCAAATAGACAAACTAAAGCCTAATAAGTCACCTGGTCCCGGCGAGATATTTGCTGAGTATTAAAGGAATGTAAGGAAGAGCTTAGTATGCCCTTAGCAAAGTTATTTAACATGTCCTTAAAAACAGGTGTAGTACCAGAATCCTGGAGGATAGCGAATGTAATACTGATTTTCAAGAAGGGGGATAGATCACTATCCTCTAACTACCGCCCAATCAGTCTAACATCAATAGTAGGCAAATTACTGGAAGCAATCACTTCAAACTCTATTCGAAATCACCTGGAGAAGCACCTATTGATCAATGATTCCCAGCATGGCTTCACAAGCGGACGTTCATGTCTAACTAATCTATTAACATTCTTTTCATCAGTTTTCGAATCGGTGGACGAGGGGCACAATTATGATGTGGTATATCCGACTTTAGCAAAAGCCTTCGACAGAGTCCCCACTTGTTATTCAATTAGAAAGGTAGAAGCCTGCGGCATCAAAGGTGACATCCTTAAATGGATTAGCGTGGTTAAGGACAACAGGAAACAGCGAGTGAAAGACACCTAAGACTAAGTCCCATTGGAGCAACGTCACAAGCGGAGTTCCCTAAGGCTCAGTACTTGGACCATTATTATTTATTATATACATAAACGACATAGATATCGGCATAGACAGCAACATAAGTAAATTTGCTGATGACACTAAAATAGGACGTGTAATTAAATCTGACGAGGACTCCGGAAAACTACAGGAAGATCTAAACAAATTTTTAGAATGGTCTGAAAAATGGCAGATGAAATTCAACGTGGACAAATGTAAAGTACTCAGTATAGGAGATGTAAACAGGGAAACCAGATACCAGATGAACAACGATGCTATAGAGAAATCCGACTGCGAGATTTAGGAGTAATGATAAGTAGAACCTTGGGTCAAGCAACAATGTGTTTTTTGCTCAGAATAAGGCTATTGTGCACGGTTCATACAAAGGAGTGTTAGTTACAAGACTAGCGAGGTCATCTTAAGATTAAATCTTGCGCTTGTGAGACCTCACCTGGATTACGCAGTTCAGTTCTGGTCACCGTATTACAGAATGGATATAGAATCTTTGGAAAGAATTCAGAGGAGAATGACAAGACTAATCCCGGGCATTAGGAACCTTGAGTACAGAGACAGGTTAAAGCATCTTAATTTGCACTCCCTCGAGAGACGTAGAGCGAGGGCCGACATAATAGAGGTGTATAAGTGGAAGGCAGGACTAAACAAAGGGACATTACAAAGGTACTCAAATTATCCAACCAGGAGCGAACTCGTAACAATGGTTTTAAATTAGACAAATTTAGATTTAGGCGTGAAATAGGTAAACACTGGATTGGAAACAGAGTAGTGGATGAATGGAACAAGTAACCAAATATCATCATTAACTCGAATACGCTGAATTGCTTCAAACATAGGTTGGATGCTCATATAAGCAATAGGGGTTGGGTGTAAACAGGACTGCCCAGCATGGGCCAATAGGCCCGCTACAGTTTCCTCCATTCTTATGTTCTCTTATGTTCTTACATTTGGGTTAATCGCAAGGGTCAGCATCACAGGAGTGCAATGGTGAGCCTCGCCCTGGGAAAACCGCCTTCGTGATCACGGTATCTCCTGTGCCAGGTAAGTATGCACGAACATGATCATCCTGAACCCTAACCTTACTTGACTGACCATCATTGCGCTGAACCTTCTTTTTTATGTTATTTACCTCATTTTACAAACAAATAAAATGATTACTCTTTCTATAATTCGTAGTATGCTAAAATAAAAATTTCCATATTAAAAATAAGAGCATGTGATAGAAATAAACAAGTTTGGCTTTATAAACTTTATTCATTTACAAACATACGGGGCTAGAAAATGTTAACTATTGATATTTATTTTCGCGTTTTTCTTGTGTCTAAATCAAGATGATTTCAAATTAGATCCAAAATAAAGTAATTAATAGTATCTCAACCACCATCTTTAGATTGATTTGCCAAGATAAGTTTGTTAAAGTATAGAGGTAAGCCAAGTTTTCTTCTATCTCAAATTGACCTTAAGTTTCTCCCTCTCACGATTAAGTCGTTTGGGGTATTACTTATAATATCAATTATGAGGAACTTGCTATCTAG